TCCTCCAGCGCGCCCGGCTCCTCCAGCGCGCCCGGCTCTGCCAGCGCGCCCGGCTCTGCCAGCGCCCCCGGCTCTGCCAGTGCACCCGGCTCCTCTAGCGCGCCCGGCTCCTCTAGCACCAATGTCGCGGCCAGTCCAGAAGATCCCCGAGCCCTTGCTGGGGAGACGGACGACAATCTCCGCTGCACAACCTCGTGCATCGATGGCGCATGCGGCGTGGAGGCCCCGCTGAATGACAGCCAGTGCGATGACATCTGCGACATCAAGGTTTACCTGACCTTTGAAGGCCTGGACCGGAACAAGACCCGACTGACGTCGGCCGGTGGTACGTCCCTCATCCTCCTTCCCTTCCTGGCGCGTTGTCCCCTCCATCCAGCGGCTTTTGACCCATCGCACTCGCATGCCATGTACATCTGCCCATCCCATGGTAGAATACTCCCTCAGCACCATCCTCGAGTGGTGGCCCTTCGATGTGGATGCCTTTGTGGCGCGCGCCGCCCGCGCATGGCGGGGAGCCGGCTTCGCCGGGTTCGGCCACGCCGGCGACACGCTGCTCGGCTGGTGGGACCGTCTGGTGGATGTCCTGCCGTCGGGCGGTGTGCCGGCCCCGCCGCAGGAGTAGCTCCTGGCCCGTCCTCCTTCTGGTGCGGGCCAAGGAGCCGAGCACTGATGCTCCTCTTTTTGTGCCCCCCCCCCCCTGCCAGCCGCGAGGATGTGCTCCTCGTTGCGCGTCCGAACAAAGACCCCCCCCCCCTTTTCTCAATCTTCCTCTGCTCCTCCTCTCTTTGTTTTTCGTCTCCTCCTCTCCCTGCTCATTGTGTGGGTGGTCTTGGCGCATGCGAGGAGCCGTACCAGCGGCGCGGGCAGGCGCACTGCGGCACCTGGCTCGGGGGGGGGGGGGGAGGGGGGGCGCGCTTCGCCGGCCTCCTCCGCAGGATGGCCTGTGCGTGCTCTCCGGGCGGTGGGCCGGCAAGGAGCCATGAATTCTTGGGCCTTGATCCCGTGGGGGCGTGACGAGGCGGACCGATTGCCGGCTTTGGCCCCTTGGCCGCCTCCGTTGGGAAGTGCAGGTGAATGCGGGGCGCTTCCCCCTTCCGGACACCGGGGGGGGGGGGGGGGGCGAGCGGACCAGGTCCGGGAAGAGAATTGGCCAAGACCCCCCCCCCCCCCCCCGCGGCCTGCGCTCTCTCCCCCGGGCCCCGGCTGGGATGCAAACCTCACGCCACGATCTCACCTTTGCTGCGACTTCTTTTGCGATCCCCGCAGAGTGCGCGCAATCGATGGAATGTCAACTGGGGCTTCGTTTTTCTGGCCCGGTGCCCCTTGCGCCTGTCAACAGTCCTGACATGTATTCTCCTCCGATCCTCCCCCCCCCCTCTGTTTCGTTCACCTCTCCCCTCTCCCCTCTCCTTTTCCCCCGTCTCCCACCATGGCCATGCCCAACCCGTTCCCCGGTGCGCCAGGCGACCCCAACGCCGGCACTGGCGCCCCATCTACTGGCCAGCCGGCGATCAAGCTCTTCCGCAGCAATCGCGATCGCGAGGAGCTCGAGCGCGCTGGAGCCCTCTATGCCATCATCGTGGCGCTGGATGCCCTCGAGGAGGCCTACATCTCGGACATGATCAGCGACCGGGACTACTCGTCCACCTGTCGCCAGCTCCTTTCCCAGTACCAAGTCGCGCGGCAGGTGGTAGCCGGCCTGGAGGATGGCATGCCGGGCGTCCGGAACTTCTGTCAGCAGTATGGCGTGCGTCCCGGGAGCTTCTCCTTGTTTCGCGACCGTACCCTGCCATGGGCCGCCTTGGTCTGACCCTTTCCTGTCCACCGCACACGCACACTCTCCGGCTCTTTCTCTCTCCCTCTTTCCCTCTCCCCCTCTCTCCCTCTCTCTCCCTCTCTCCCTCCCTCCCTCCCTCCCTCTCTCTCTCTCTCTCCCTCTCTCTCTCTCTGGCTCTCCCCCTCCGGCTTTCTCTCCCCTTCCCCTTATCCCTGGGGCCTGGCAGCTTGAGTGCCGAGCTGCGCTCATCCGCCTGGAGGCTGGCATTCCGGCCGGCGTGGCTGTCAGCTCCGGCAAGTCCTTCACACATGCCATCAATGTCGGCAAGGACATTGTGACCCTCAACGATTACCTGGACTTGCAAATGCGCTCGACCGACAATGTGCTGCCCCTGCTCAACCAGATTCTTGGGCATCTGGAGGGCATCGAACATCTGCCGGTCAACTTCCAGGGGAAAGCCGTCATCCGGAACTGGTACGGCCGCGGCCCCACCACCCTCCTGCTCGTGTGTGCATCCTGTCGAGCCCGAACTGACCTGTGCTTCTCGCATGCTCTCTGTCCGGGGGGGCGTATCCGTCCTTCCTCTCCGCCTCCTTGTTTTTCCTCTTTTCCTGCCACACACACGCTCACACACACACACACGCACACACACACACACACACACACACACACACAGGATCGGGCAGATCCACAATCGGCCAGCGTACGAAGAGCTGGCGGATCACGAGGTCCGCCAGCTGCGTTTCGACCTCAGTCAGCTGAGCCACTCCCTCAATTCGGTCCAGTGATCATGGAATCTTCCGCCCACGCCGATGAATCATCCAATATACGCCCTCCAGAATCCCTGGTCTCGGTGCGGCGGCGCGCACGTTCTCCGGTCGTGTTCCGACGGGCCCCCCGGCAAGCAGAGCCCGGAGGTGGGGTCTATTTCCCCCCCCCCCC